GCACAGCCAGGACTGTGGACATTTCATGGCCTTTCCACTCCCACTCCAGCTGCCTAACAACTCTGCACTGCTCCCCTCGCCCACCTCCCCTGTCACCCCATCAGGACACCGTGCACAGGAGGGTACACTGGTTTTCCCATGCACATTGGGAACTGGCTGTTTCTGTTTTCTGGAGTAAAAAGGTTCCTGTGGGTCGGGTAAGCTCTCTGCTTGGCAAGAAGTTCTGAAACAGAGCCACTGACCACACCCACCTCCTCTGGGCATGGAGCAGCTTGGGCCCTCGGAGCTCATCTCTCCAGCAGAACTGAAGGGAAGGCCATGTATACCCTTCTGTCCCTCACCTTTCACATGCCCAGAACCATCAGTGTCACACTTCCTAATTCCTATCACTGTATTTCATTAGTGCCATACTGTTTTACTAATCCTGAATCTAAACAGATTGGTTCAAAAAGAGATCATTCTATTTTTAAAGTAATTAGTGATGTACCTGTGAGCTTTGCATGGACGAACTAAGCACATGACCCTTTCTTGTACATCAGAACCTGCACACACATGTAAAAACAGGACCCGTTTTTGACAGATGTGAAACCACCGTTGTAATAAATAATTACACAATCTAAAAAATAAATAAATAAATAAAGACCTGGCTTCCACGTGTTCTGGGACCCTCCCTGCCTCATCGCCAGGGACATGGTCGTTCCACCACAGCCAGGCAGGACGGCTTCCGCGTTCTGGATCCCTCCCTGCCTCGCTGCTGGGGATGCGATCAGGTCCCCCACAGCCAGGCAGGACGGCTTCCCCGTGTTCTGGGTCCCTCCCTGCCTCGTCGATGGGGATGCGATCAGGTCCCCCGGGTGCAGCTGTGCCTGGGACCCCGCCCCTCGCTTCCTGATCTCAGATCAGGGGACCACAGGCACCTCAGCACCCGGTGCCCTGGGTGCTGCCTTGCCTGTGGCCCCGCCCCTCCCTTCACATCTCAGATCAGATGGCCCTGCCCCCTGGACCTGCACCCGGTGCTCAGGATGCTGCCATGCCTGCTGCCCCGCCCCTCCCTTCGCGATCGCATACCAGGGGGCCCCTCCCTTCGAGAGGGCCGCAGGCTCAGCTGCACCCTGGGCCTACACCCGGTGCCCAGGGTGCTGCCATGCCTGCTGCCCCACCCCTCCCTTCAAGATTGCATATCTGGTCGCAGGCATGGCTGCACCCGGCCT